ATGCAGCGAGATTTCTTGCATTGTCGAGTGTGTGTCTTGGTATTCATATTTATGGGAGTTACCACAACAATGCTGAGTTGTGAATCTTAGCTACACACGTGATTCGGACCACCTCCAGAGCCAAGCCTGAAGCCAAGCTCACGGGGAAAGTGCACTATTTGTTACGTCAGCAGGACGTGAAGATGGGCTTTGGGCCCCGCTTGGTGGCTGCTTAACATTCACTCCGAGGATTGCTGGTCATTTTCAGGTTGGAAAAAACGCATTAAAATAACTGTTAAGTATTGAATAATGTTAAATACTCACATAGAGGATATCCTCGAGGGTGGAATGAAGATCGTGATGAGTGACGAGTTCTTGACTGTTTCTCAACATCTGCTGATAAACTTTTTTATGTCGCAAATGCTTTGGCAGTACCACATAGAGGAATGGATTGTTCTGTTCGCGAACACCAAATTTCGTGCCAGCTTCCTGCAAAGGTAAGAAATATTCATGAAGTTCGCATGTAAATTTTCGGTGCGGTTTTCACGCAGCAACAAATCCATGGGAGGGTCGGATCAGGGGAGGGCAACGAATGGCAAAATGAGAAACTACCGCCCTGGTGTAGTCAACGTTGTGCAATTCATATCAGAAGTTTGCAAAGTGAGGCTCCTTTTTGGGGAAGGTAATGATAGGCGGACTTGCCGCATTTCGATGCTGTACCAGGGTCTGATGCCGCGCAATTTCAGAGCGACTGAAGTTTTACTGTCTCAGTGCCGGATTCTGTTGGCTGCATGTTTCCGATGTGGCGCTCAACACACTGCAACATTTTCGCGTTCACACGAAAACTGCTTCGCCGTGTCGTCATAATGTGAGCATGACGCCTCGTAGCCATTGGGCAGCGTTCAGACTTCGCAACAGCGTCCATTGGCGCAATGCGCGATCATTCGCGTGCCGCCAATAGCTCTCTCAACATATCTTTAAGGACGCAAGATTTACATGCGCAGTCAGAGAGATGCTTTCCCTCAGCATTGTAATAAAATAATTTCCGTCATAAAGGTTGTCGCTCAAATGAAGTGAGCTCGATACCTCATAACGAAATATTTTGAGCTGAGGATGCATCCCTGACATCATATAGTTTTTCAAAATGAGTCAGAGAGGAATGCAGCTCTATTCTTTCAATGGTGCAAAGAATATTTGAGTATCTTTTCACTATAATTTTTGTCGGCTAATTCAGTCGCGCACCGTGCGAGGCAATCACACGTAGGCCCGTCCCCTTACCCACACTCTTCGGCTGGGCAACTTATCAATGGAAACGAGCTGCACTGTGGCGAAGCGTAACGCAATCTAAACTCCCCTCTCAAAGATAGATACGAGCACAGATCACATTTCATGCGGACACAATGATTCTGCTCTCCCGGACATTATTCATTTTGAGCGGAATGGAGATATGTATTTCTTACCGAACCGAAACGTGGCCCATGATCACCAAAGAAGAATATAAAAGAGTTGTTCAGCTGAAAGCACAGTTTTACTAAAACAGCCCAAAAATGTCTTTCAAAACGCTTACCGCATCTCTATTCTTTCAGAAATATCTCTATTCTTCAGGAAAAAGTCGTACAGTTCATAGTCGCTACGGTAGATCAGTTTGGTATTGTCATGAGCCAAATCGACGAACCATGTTAGTGAAAATTTCGGGGAACCTATAAAGGGCAGCGGTCAAATTTGCAGACTAGGTAGACTTGGTATTTTGAGGCTGATGAAAAACCTTGCGACACTTCGAACAAGCCGCGGAAGAAAGAAAGCGAGAAGTAATTACAGATGTTTCAGCCCTAGCCTATCGTGTTAGGTTGCAACAGCACAACACTTGGCATTTCGGAACGAATTTCGTAACTTCTCCCTGTGTGAGCTTTCGGTGCTTGAAAGTCCTCCATGAGTGATGCGGCTTTTTGCCCCAGTCTCAACTATGAGCATTCTCGGATCGGCTAAGGAGAAGGTGACTACGTTCATCAGGATGTCGCTAACCACCCAAAATTTCTCCCTATATTCTCAGCACTTGATGCTGAAGAATGATTTCGGGGTATTCGATTTCGACCGGCTAGTGAAAAGGGATGACCACCATTGATTCAACACTTTCAAGGCACAGCAATCGTATACTACAGCTTAATGGTAGTTAGGCAGCACTAATTGTAAGCAGCTTCCGAGCTTCTCGAGTCTAGGTTATCAAGGAACGTTCCTCGGTTGCGCCAGCTTGTTAGCAAGCGCCAGTTTGCCATAATCGAGTGTAGTCTTATGAT